ACATTTGATCACAGCAAGTACAAATATACAATGGCCCTTGAGAGACAATGTCATGAAACTTTGAAATAAAAAACTCAATACTTTTTTTCCTTGCTCTATAACTCTTCATGTATTGATAATTTTTTTTCTCTTTCCTCCTTAGAAATGCTTTTTTCTGCTTTTCTCTTCTTTTTATATTCTTTCACGTAGTCACTGTCTTTTCTTTTACGGTTATGATTTATGCCAAAGTCACAAGATGCAAGATTTACAGGAGACTTCTCAGTTCCAGTTTCAGTTGCATTTACTCCAAATTCAGCAGGTAAAGTTGACACATAATGCAGTTCACCAATGTGACCTACATACATAGACCTTATATTTCCAACCTCAGTATTCACAGATTCAACCAGGGTCAAATCTGAAAAATTTGCACTAGATTCGACAATATAAATTCTTAAGTTCAGTGAATCTGCAACAGCTTGTATAACATCAGCCCATGTTCCTTCCATAGATATACCAGATAAATAACTTAACCATGTTCCATCCAAATTGCTTTCTATAAATCGCTCAGGATTATTTCTCAACAACTGGACAGCCAATGCTCTAATTTCTAGGTGATGGTTAGAGTCACCGTATATTACTGGTGTGATACTGACTTAAAAAAGCAGTCGCCTCCTCCACCAACATCAAGTGGTCTTGATCCATGTCTAAGTAGCCTGTAGTTTAAGAGCAAATCACCTGTAGTATTGGATACTAATGCTAATGAACCAGTTTTGCCTTTTACAACAGGACCTAGATTTAATTCAACATCTCCAGAGAGTAAAAGATTTCTTTTTGATGCATTAAATGCAAATGAACAAGTGGCACACTTAACTCGTAAAAAATAAATACTAAAGAAACTTGTTTGCCTTTTAGTATGTCTGATTTTCCACAATTTATAATTACAAGCAATGTTGTGTAAAACAGATGAAGCAGGAACTGATTTTTTGAGCAAATTCTTCACTTTTGATCTCAATTTTGGAAATTTCAATGACTGGATAACTTTTCACAGTGATATTCTAGATGGTTCTCTATCTCGAGATCTGTATGGTTTTACTGCTAGCCGCCTGAACGGTGTACGTGATCTAAATTGCAGATCGTTTTTCATACCTTTGAGTTCCTTATCACTGATTATTGGTACTTTTGTAACAGAATCAATAGCTGAATTGTGTTTTACAGAACCTGGCACAGCTTTCAGGAATACTCTAACAAGGGTGCATTTCGCAACCACATTGCTTCGAACAAAATGTGTCGGTTTGATTTCTTCACGGTCAAAAGACTTATCCACACTATCGTTTCTGTCAAATATTTTGTCATAAGCAACATTGCATGAAGTCTCATCAGTGTGCGTTGTCTCCCAAAGGAGGTTCATTGTCTCCCAAAGGAGGTTCATTGTCTCCC